TTTTTTCCCTCTTAAGGATTAGACCTTAATATTTATTTCAGCCTAATTTGATTCTTGGTGCTTGTAGGGGTGAAGACTCTGCACGAGTTCCTTAGTTACAGAGAGTCTTTGTGTGATGGCTTTCCTGATGTTGGTTGTAGTAATTATGTACTTGGTTTGTGGGCAAGTTCACTGTCTCCTATGAAGTTGGAATGGCAGGGATCTCTTGAAGCTTATCTCATTCTCTTGTGGTCTATATTTATTTATTTTTTTTTCCCCCAGTATTTTATTTACTGAGTTGATGATTCAGGCTTCAGGCCAATAGGGGAGGTATTCTTGGGTAGGTACTAGTTGTAGCTAAAGCAGGTGAATAGATATAATCCCAATGGTGGGCTCAGACCCCAGCCTTGACGAGGATAGCTGGGGGAGCTCGCAATTTGATGTCCTGAGGTTTTATCAGGGTGAGGAGTAGGAGCTACCTCAGCTCCCCTCTTAGGCCAGCAAGCTGTTCACCTCACAGTCTCATTCTTGTCCCATTGTTTCAGCTATTTGGATCAGTTAGGCACCTCTTTTCATCTATAGGAATGTTGATGTTTCAAGTAGGGAGGAATTGTGACCCTGCCCCTTGTGCAGGCTTCAATCTGGGGGGTGCTTCTCCTGTGGGGCTGTGCTAACTCTGGTTTGTTCCAGCAAGGCTGTCTATAGCTGCCTCCATGCTGCATTCCTGTGGAGGAAGCCCCAGCTGTGTCTGCAGTGGAGTGCCAGAGGGGAACAAGGACCTCTTCTCCAAGGCCCTTCATGATCACAGAGGCCACTTGCCTGTTGGGGTATAGGTTCAGACTTTCCCTACTGTACCCAGCACTGCAATTGTGTCTCTGCTGTGACAAACTTCCCACCAGCGAAAGATCTGGAACTCATGGGTTGGTTTTCGGATTCTTTTGTCCCATGGGGTGATCCCTTGATGTGGTGCTCTCCCTCTTTCCCTTAGGAATGGGGCTTTCTGAGAACCAGACTGAAGTGATTGTTATTCTTCTTCTGGGTCTAGCCACCCAGCTAGGCTCTGGGCTGGTGCTGGGAAATGTCTGCAAAGAGTCCTGTGATGTTATCTGTCTTCAGGTTTCCCAGCATGCATACCAACACCTGTTCTGATGGAGGTGGCAGGGGAGTGATGTAGTCTGTGAGATTTCTTGGTTGTAGATAGGCTCAGTGTGCTGGCTTTCTTGAATGCTGGTTATGCTAGTGGTGAAGTTGTCATGTGGACAGACCCAGGACCTCTGGTTAGCCAGGGTTTAGCAGGGAGTGGTGGTAGCTGTTGTTTTCTCCTTCCTGTAAGCAGTGTTATTCTGCCAAGAGTTACTGTAATGGCCTGAGTTGGTTGACTTCTAGCCAGGAGGGGACACTTGCAAGAGAACACCAGCTGTGGTAGTAGTAACGACATTTGTGCTTGGCCTAAGTTGTCTAGGGGAAGTATTCTGGTTTCCCAGAAAATGGGCAGGGCCATAAAGCTCTCAAGAGTTTATGTCTTTTGTGTTAAGCTACAGGGCAGGTAGAGAAATACCATCAGGTAGGGGCAGGGTTGGGCGGGCCTGAGTTCAGATTTTACCCGGGCAAGGCCTGCTGTGGCCCCTCTGGGGGATAGGAGGGGTGGTTCTCAGGCCAATGGGGTTATGTTCTAGAGGGGAGTATGGCTCCCTCTGCTGTGCAGTAGAGTTTGCAAGGGGAGTGGGGATTAGCTCATAGTGAAAGTCCTCATCCAGCTCCCACAGAGTTGGCGAGGCCAGTCTTGTTCCCATGGTGCCCCACTAACGGCACTGAGTTTAGATTCAGACAGCTGGTGTGCAGAACTCAGACCTGCCCTGGGCCATGAGCTTTCCTGCTGAGAAAGAAACATGGCTTTCAGGTCACACCCCTCCCATCTGCCTGCAATGCTGGGTGCCCAGTTTCTGCCCTTGTATCTGCATTAGTTTCCATTTGTCCGCCCACCCCCGGATTCTGTTCAAGGGTGTTCACGCCCACTTGAAATTACCAAAAAATTCAGTTGGCAGCTTCTTTCACTCTGTGACTCCTTCCTAAGTTTGGTGGCTGCCTTCTCTGGGGGCCCCTGTGAGATATAGTCAGGGATGGCTTCCCTGGCCTCGAGTTGGAGACTGAGAATGCCTCCAAGGCTCTTCCTGCTGTTGCTTCTACTTTTATATTTTGTGCTTCTCCCTAAGTCCATCCCAGCTCTAGGTAAGGTTAAAGCCTTCTCCCATGATCTGGATTTTCAGATTCCCCAGTAGGAATGTGTGTTCAGAGGCAGGCTCTCCCCTTCTCCTACACTGAGAATTCACAGTTTTTTGCCTATTCCATGGAGTCTGTTGTGGTGTGTTCCTTCTTTCATAGGATCTGCGAATTCTTTTGGTTTCCTGCTAACTTCCTGCAGTGGTTCTTGGAATAAAAGTTCACAGTGTTAATTGCTACACACTGTTCTGTCCTTCCAAGTGGGAGAGACACACTAGCACTGCCTACTATCTGCCATCTTAGAACAGACAAACCAAAACACATTTAAAAGGATGTAAATTTATTGCTAAGTGTGGACTCATGGAGGCCCCATATGGCCACCTGGTTCTTCCTGAGTCCTTAAATCTTCCATTATTAAAAACTCTGTACTCCATTACTCATCATGGAGTAGACAAAATCTAGTTCTGGGAAGACCCATATCCTTAATAACAGAATCTCCTGTATCTCCTGCTCTTATAAGCTTTGCTATAACTAAATACTGCAAAGCTTTAATCCATTACACCAAAGTATATTTTCACCAAGTAAAAGCCTTTTGTGATACGCTGAGTACGACCAACCTTTCACAATCTAGAACTCAGAGATTGAGTCTTCTGGAAATAACATTCCATCTGAGAAAAACTGCTCTTGTACCCCATTAGCAGAGATTATATCATGTTCTCCTCTCACCACCCACAGTAAAACTTTAGGGCTTTGAGTCTTGAGTCCATACCTTGTGACTCAAAAGAGCCCCTTCAAACTCTTGGAACTGTACACCTATTAGAGACCTTAAGGTAGGGAAGTTTCTCCCCAGAAGCAGATGGCATCCTAGACATGGACAGCTTTCTCAAGATCATGGATCAAGACTTCTCTGCTATCATGAATATCTTATCCTTTTTTCTATTTTCCCCTTATTTCCTGCTGGGAAATCCATGGGACCATAATTTATAGATGGCTTTAGCTAAGGCTCATGCTCTAACAAGAAAAACCAACGCAACTGTTGGGTTTCTGGACTGATGCCAAAAAAAAAAAACAACCAAACACTACCCTAGGAAACCATTTTATTACTGCCAGTGCCTCTCTGTGTTCCAATGAAAGCCACCCTAAAACCTCAAAAGCAGATTGGAAATCTATCTTTGATTTTGTAGATATCACTGCTACTTGCTTTCCTACACTTACTGAAAGCAATAGCCTAACTTTTCCAATTAATAACCTACCAGCTACCAAATACAGAAAAGCTGAGTGATTCTTGCAAAAGGTGTATTATGCTTCCGGGCATCACATACTGAAGACTTGGGGACTATCTATGTAGGTACAAGTAACTTATTGTATAATGTCACTGGATTAAATTCAGTAATGTCCTTTTTCACTAAATGTGGTTATACAACCTTACAGCATGTTACAAAGGGAACACAAACAAAAAAGTAAGTTTCACATTGGACCTTCTTCAGGAGCAGTGCTGACCTATTTCACTGACCTATGCTCAACTGCCACTAGGTGGCCCTCTTTTCCAGCTTCCAAGGGCCTACATTTGGCCTATGTGGCCTCAGTATAGCCTCAGATTTCCTGCTATGAACTTAATGAGCCCAGAACTGGCTCTAGCTATGGTTTGTTCCTTTTTGGGTGGAGTGGATGGGTGGTTCTTGGAGAATCTACTACTTTCCCGTGCGTGCAGTGGGAGGCTGTGTTGGAGAATCTAGCTATCCCGACTGCCTACACAGAGCCTACCATAATTTTTCACTCACATCTTTAGTATAAATCTAATTGTCTTGGCCTTCTGTAATAATACCTTTGAAGAAATAAGGATTTAAAAAAAGTTATTCATTTAATATTCTAAGTAGACCTGCAACATGGGAACAATATTATTATTATTTTTGCAGTTGAGAGGGCTGAAATCTCGCAGGGTGATTAAAGCAAGTTTATTAGCCTCTCTAAAGCCTCAGTTTCCTACTCTGTAAAATGGAAGTACTTTCCTACTGCTTTGTGAGTATTTAAAGGGATGTAATTTGGGAAGCGCCCAGCATTTTGTCTACTACTGGCACAGGGTTTTAAAGCCACCCAGAGGCCGAGGCGTCAACACTCCGTTTCCCTGCCGGTGCTCCTTCCAGCCCCTGGTGTGGTCGATTTGGCAGGGGTGGAGCGCCAGGCGCGTGCAGAGC